ATCAAAGAAGGTTAACAGTCGTATGAGACGCGACGATATTATTAAAACCATAGAAAAATTTATGATGCTACACTTAGTGAGCCTCTGCAGCAGCAATTTCGCCTGCATAGACTGCGTTATAACCTTATTTCCACCAGTTTTGCCCTTGTTCTTGATTATGCATTAGTGAATTCGGTACTACTAAATTACAAAAGGTTGAAGTTGCACCAGTGTTCAGTGGTTACTCGAATATTTTACAAGTATTAAGCTAGCAAAATTTTATGACGAAAAGAAAGCATAAAACTTCTTATATGAGTGATAAAAAATGAATAAAGCAATTTCTTCATCTCTATTTACTTTACTGTAATTACGTGGCCTCAGTATTACAGTTTCATCAGAAGCATTAATGTACGATCGTAAACTTGGTGAATAAACTTATGCTCTTTTACTGCTTGTCCAGTAAGGCTGTAATTCTTTAATCAGTAAACTTTCATGCTAAACGTACCTTACACATTGTTTTAATATCGCTGAATTGTCACAGTGCCAAAATTAATCCCTACGTACAGTGTCTCACGCTTGTTAATTTAGATTTTCTTAAGCAATTCTCTAATTCTCGAGAGAAAAATAGCAAATTAAGCAAAAATTAGCGTTATAATTGTTTTCGATTTCCTCGTTGTTGCTAATGTGAAGAAGCCTTAAAACTTTTAAGACACTGTGAAAACGACAAAAAAAAGAGAAAGTTATAACTTTTACGCCAGAAAGACTAACCACTCTTTTATGTGGTGACGTAAAGTAAGAAGCATGAAAATTTTGCTGAGAAATATAAGTTTATTGTAAGATTTAGAAGGCACAGAATAAATTGTAAACAAGTTTGTTCAACAAGATATTGAGAAAAATTATTTTGCAAAAAAATTTATGAAGTCAAAAACGTGCGTTAAGTTGTTGACATTGTAAAATGATAATTGTAATGTAAGTGAAAACAGCTTTAATTACAGTATTAAACGGACAAAATACTGCTTAGCAGAGTTGCTTCTGGTTCTGCCGATAAATCCATATTTCTCGTACTCCCCTCAACCCGATTTATCTATCTCCCCCTGATCTGAAATTTTGAGCTAACTGTCAAAAACTGTTTTTTTTTTTTTTTGATTACAAACATACTGTCACAAAAAATGATCGAGAAAATTTGTTCAAAAAAATACCTGTTTTGTCCAATGGTAGAATGTATCTTCTTGTTGCAATATTGCTGTTTGTTCTTTTCTCTACTTTTACCATTATCAACCTCTACCTCTCACCCACATGAAAAAAATAGAAAAAAATGGCAAGTTTTTGATAAATGAACTAAAATATTCAGAAACGAAGAAACAGTTGTAATTAAGCAAGTAAGTAAAAAGAAGGTAAAGATAGCAAAAAAAAAAAAAATTACATTTACATTATCTATAAATTCTGCCAAATAATTTTAAGTTACAGAAGCAGGTTATTAATCAACAGCTATGATAAGTACCAACTGTTAGAACAATAAATATAATAAAATTTAGACATTATTTGGCTAATTGAAACGAGATTCTCTTTGTCCAACCTGATCTGTCATGCGATACTAAGGACATACAGTTGAACAACGCTACTGTACAGAATACTGTAGGGTGTGACAAATCTTTTTCATGTTCATATTTGTTGCTCTCATTGTTCTCTTAGAAATCTTTTACTAAACGGTTTCAGAAACAGTTTTTTGCCTTGCTAATACTGATGTTAAAAAAACTTGTGGAAAAAAAAATAAATATTTTTTTCTTTTGCCGCAAAATTTTGTGTTTATGAGTTATTAAAAACTGAATTTTTTTAACATGTACAATTAGGAAAGCAAAAAACGACAACAATAACAAAAGCAACAAGTCAGCAGCAGTATAGCGCCTATCATGTTACCAACAAAATATCTACATCTAAGATTCAATGCTTGTTTAACCAAAAAAAAAAAAAAAAAAAAAAAAAAAAAA